AGATTTTCCTTCTTTATATTCAATATCATAATTATACTGGTCTATCTTTCTTATCCAAGGTGCCACTTGTCTCTCTGGGTTCTTTAATGATCTTAACCAGCATAATGCAGCATCTCCATAGAGATAAGGATGGAAATATGTCAGACTCTTTAATATAGCAAGGAGTTCCCTCCGTGTTACACAGTAGTTCCTCTCTGGTCTGCTCAGGACCCTACTGAAGTAGGCCACCACATGTTCGTTTTCACCCACTTTCTGAGACAATACTCCTCCAATTCCGACATTACTAGCATCACAATCCAGTATGTACAGCAGTGATGGATTTGAAAGCTTTAAAAGTGGAGCTGAGGCCAATTTTGCTTTCAATGTCTTGAAAGCATGCTGGCAAGAAACTGTCCATTCGAACTTCTGGCCCTTTTTTTTAAATCATGTAGTGGAGCAGCTATAGTTGCAAAGGCCTTCACAAACTTTCGGTAATAGGTACAGAGTCCCAAGAAACTTTCTAACTCTCCCACATTGTCTGGTGTTGGCCAATCACGCACTGCTTTCACCTTGTCAGGATCAGCTCACACACCATGCTCACTTACAATGTGACCCAAGTAAAGCACCTCTTTCTGGAACAAGTGGTGTTTCTTTGGATGGAGTTTGAGGTTTGCTTCTGTCAAACACTTGAATACTTCTTGTAGCCGGGACATTTCCTTATCAAACGTTGTTGCAAACACAATGACATCATCCAGGTACACTGAGGCTATCCTCCATTGTAGGCCTCCCAGTACCCTTTCCATCAGCCTCTCAAATGTTGCTGGAGCATTGTTAAGCCCGAATGGCATCACTCGGTATTGCCAGAGACCTTCGCCATAAATAAATGCAGTCTTAGGTTTATCTGCTTTAGCCATTTTTACTTGATGGAAACCCGACTTTAACTCCAGAGTTGAAAATCACCTGGCTCCACTTAGGGCAGCAAGAGTATCATCAATTCTTGGCAGTGGTTACGAGTCCTTTTTGGTTATACTGTTAAGAGCCCTGAAGTCCACACGGCAAGTTGGATCCCATCCTTCTTCTGGACTAACATGACGGGAGCTGATCAGGAACTATCTGATTTCTCGACTATCCCTTCCTTAATTAGGCCATCCATGACCTTTGCCAGGGCTATTCTCCTCGTAGTGATCTTTATTGGATGGTGATTGCCTGTGTTTATTCTGTGCTCCACGAGGTCTGTGCAGCCGAGGTCATGATCTCCTTTTGAAAAGACGTCTGCATTATTCACCAAAGGTTCCCTAACCTGAAGAGCCTGTGATGATAACAAATGGACTATGCTCTTCGTATAGATGTAAGTTAAATGTTCTGGGAGAGGATGTCCTTTCTTTATGGTCGTATTTCTTGCCTTAACATTGACTGGCTCTACCTCCTAGCACATAACCAACAATGCCTCTTCCTTAAGTGTCTGCTCACATTTAGAGAAAATAGCCACTGTTATGGGTAGTACTTGATGACCTGCCACAAGTGACTTTCCAATCTTCACATCTGCTGACCTGGATGGGTCTTCTACTGCTTCCACAAGCATCAGGCTTCTTTGTTGATGTTCGTTTATTCCCAAATTATCTTCTCTGACATAGGGGGTATTGTAGTTGATTTAAGTGCTGTGACATGGAAATCAACAGAAGCAGCAGCACATACCGGAATTTGGGCTTTGTTGTTCCCAAACGTCATTTTATTAAAATTAACTACACATTACCTCGGTGGTAAGTATTCCAGCCCTAGTATGCATTGGTCTTCAATGTCAGCCAAGTATCCTTTGTGTCTTTCCTCTATGTTTATGAGCTCAGCTAGTTACCCACTACTCGGTCCCC